CGCCGGAAAAATAAGTTGACAAAAATTCTTGCGCAGAAAAAAATCCTCTGGAGCTATTTGTGACCAGAGTGACCGGATGTGTCTTATGAGTAATACTCTGAATTGAGTTTTTAATTAAACTTCTACTTTAAGCTCGCTAGTAAAAGAACAGAAATGAATCTTAAAATTTAATTAGCGAAGACGTGAATAAATTTCTCCACGCCAAGATGTAAAATTAACATTTTTTTTTGGTAAAATTTTTAAAGTAATTTTGTTTTTAATTATTTATTTATTTTAAGAGTGTTGCAGCGTTTTGCTGTAGAAAAAATAAGTTTGAATTAAATATGAAGTTGAAGCTGAGAGGAAAGTTGTGCTGTCAGAAGTGACTTTTCGGAAGCAATCACGAAAGGGACGGTTTTCAAACTAGTGCCAAACTTTTCGAGCTCATCACCCAGAGCGGAAAGTCAGAACCAGCGAGACGTGTTTGGTTACCGCGCTTGAAGAGAAAATTAAAGTTGTTGCGAAAGATAAATGCAAATCCTGTATTTGGAGAAAACACTACAAGTCAAATTTCCTCGTCTCGTAATTTCAAATTTGCATTTATAATCCTTTCTTCAATTCAAGAAATGAGAGAAGCGCGCGTTTTGGCAAAGTGGCGCGTTTATTTTGGAAGAGGAATATCTTTTCACATAAACTTCTCTCTCGGAACTATTAAACTCCATCGCCGCACATGCTCCACATTTCGCGCCGAGAAAGAGCAAAAAGTTGTATGTTACGTCACGCTATCTACGTGAGTAAACCCTTTAAAATGCAGCGCACCACCATATACATATATTTATCGACCGAGGCTTTTTTCCATTTTTCCTGCAGGAGATCTCTAACAACAAAAACATCCTGACTCTATAATCCGCGCGGCTGTTTGAAAGAGAGGAAAACAAACAAATGACAAAAATTTCTCCCGGTATGAATCAGCACAAATTAATACTGCCCGACCGCGTGCATTTCAGAAGAGGGACAGGTTTTTTAGGGACAAAAGAGCGAGTGGCGTTGGGAATTATTATTTCCACCGTCACGACCTCATAGTTATTTCGTCCAAGCACACACAACTCAAGTGCTGAGTTTGTGTGTTATTATTATTGTTATTAATTCACTTCTTATTTCCTGCTTGTCAGGATGACTATAAGGTCGTCTTTTTCCATCAAGGGACATTTTTAACTTCAAAAGTATATAATCACGTTTTTTTATTAAAGATTTTATAAAATGAGTTGTTGTCACTTTTGTGAATTAGAGGCAAAAAGAAGTGCTGACTGCTTATGAAGCGAAATTATATTTGAAATAACTCTGAAAACAAATTGCGGCTACTTGAAAAGAGACGGATTTGATTTTTTTTTTTTACTTTTAACTTATGACTCGTATACATATATTTTGTTAGTCCGAATCAGTTTCGCAACAAGGGCTGTTTTTTCCAGCTCAATTTTAAAATTGTTTGGAATAGACAACAAAATATTATACCAAAAATAAAATGAATGAAAGAATGGCTTAGAAAAAAGCTGAAGAGCCCAAATTGCTCTTTCTGTGATTGATAAACGAGACGCCCTCTTCCTCTCCTACAAAAATTAATGTTTCTGTCCATCCGACGTTTCCGCCGCAGACGAGAGATATATTTTGCAATGTAAATTTAGAAGAGCTGCCAACTAAAAACGCGAATATTCATAACGCCGCTTTTTTTAAAGACAAAACCTCTCATCAAAGTTGCTGATCTCGGCCATTTCGAAATTCATGGCTTGATATAAAGCAACAGAATTGCTGCTGCATAAAAAAAGAGAGACGTTTAAATGCGTTGTAAAAACTTGACGGTGCGGGGATAAAATGGAGCTTTGCAGAATGAACGCAAAAGTGGCTGTAACAAAGTGCAAAACTTTTTGTTTACTTTAGATTTTTTTCCGTCAAGAACTACAAAATATGGTGAAAAAAATGCCCACACGTCAGATGCAGTTAAGAAGGTTTAATTATTCGCATTATTTCTTCCGCTAATGACTTGCAATGGAGCGGTGTGCGCATTGTGCTTTTGATGTTGGCAACACATACACAAAACGCAAAAAATGCAAACTCACGCGGGACAAAAAACATAATTTTAATAAGCATGTCGAGTGTGAGCAGACGCATCAACTCTGATGATGATGAGCATGGACGAATTTATATTTCCTTCGAGAGTAGCGAATCAAGAAGCCGCGGCAATCATAATAATTACAAAAAACATAATCCCCTTGCTTGCATATAAACTTTTGAGGTCAGGCGATTATGTTTCACTGTGCGTGATTGCAATGCCCGAGCTTTATTTTCAGGTCTGAACATTCTGCTGCATTTGGCAATTTCGGCTTTCCTGTGGGAACAAGCGAGATTTTCGACTGATAAGAATAAAACGCTAGAGCGCCTCGTTTTGGCCCACAATAAGACGTGGACTGTCAGCAGAAATTCGCAATTTCAATGGGCAAAAGCCGTAACAGCCAAGAACGTCTCATCCTGATCTCATCGTTGCACAAAACCTGAGGCTTAGGATACGGAATTTTTTCTGTGTTGCCATTGCTCAGCATTTTCGGTAAAAAAAAAAATGAAAAAGTGGCAAAAGTTTATTTTATTTCCTGATCAATTTGCAGAAAACGAATTAACTCATAAAATAAACGCACTTTTGAAACATTGGAGATGGTATTTATATTTAGCCACAACAATATTAATTCTTCTTCCCTAGCAAAAAATTAATAGAGGCAATTTATAATAAATGTAGATTAATAAATATTATTTGCGTCATGATAATAATTTAAATGAATTTCTATACATCATGCGTGATAAAAAAAATTTATTTAATATAATGAAAAAAATTTATCAAATAGATGGATATTTTAAATCAAAATTTTAATCATATAGTTATTTTTATTGAAAATATATTCACACATTTTTTGTGGACTATTACTCTTGATTTTATCTTAATCATACGTAAATCATATTGTTATATGTAATTTGCCTTCACTTAGCATATGTCATCGAATTGTTAACTGTATATTAAACAAACATTTCTTTTCACTGCAATCATATTAACAGCTGGAAAACGTTTTAAGCTTTGGTCAGTCATGACCGCACAATGGACTCGGTTCTCCATAAATGGACAGAGAAATTGTCTCTTGCTTTTTTCTCTCTTTCTCCACCATCAAATAAACGCAGCGGCCGTGAAATATCAAACGTAATCTCGTCAGCCGCAATTCCGCAGACGCTCCATGGGATAAATATTTATCTTCTGTGTGACGCGTCGCGAATCAAAAAGCGTTCCAATTACGGCCGAGAATATTGCGCGTGGACGAGAGAAGGCGGCTCTGCGTTGACCTCCGACCTCACTGTGGCCACCTGCCGACCCATCAAACGCAAAAACTTTTGTTGGCGAGAACTTGCCTGGGAGCAAAAATAATGGGTTTGGTAAGCAAATCCACAGTGAGACATCTTTTTAAGCACATTAAGCTTACCTATTATTTTTTGTAAAAAAATTTTAAGAGTCATGTATTAATGTAAAGTAACAAGGGTGCGATTTTTAAATTAGGTCATTTGATTAAATCAAGTTTTAATTTTTTTAAGTTAAGTAATATTGAAAATATTTTTTTTATCATGAAATTTGAAAAATTAAATTTTCAAAAAATTATTAAAATTTTACTTTGAAACAATTCAAAATCTGTTATGTTTAAAAAAAAATGAAAATAAAAAAACTGAAAACCATTGCAGTAATATTTTTATTTAAATCAATAATAAAATAAAATTGATCATATTGATAAAAAATCAACCGACTCTTTGCTTCAGCCCTGTTTTAAGCAACTTTCCGTTTCGAGGTCGGTTACTCTACATACTTTTTCCAGCGCGTTGAATAATTCTTTTCTGTACAAAGAAGATTAATCAAACTGCTATTCAAAAGAGCTGCTTTTCTCATGCAAATCAAGCTTGCCGCTAAATTGGGCGCGCTTTCTGTGTGTCGCGCATCCTGAGCAGCTCTGTTAGTATTTTCCCGTCCAACTTTGCACCAAGAACAATTCATCTCTCTTACCAGCCAGCGTAGCAACTTGAACCCATTTTCCGCCGGCAAAATTAGACAAAGCGAATTAAAATTTATCACGCGCGCGCTCCTTACAAGTTGCGAAAATGAAATTTCTCTCTCTTGCAAAAATGGTTTTGCGGAAGATTTCGCCAGTGGCGAGAATTCACGAGGTGCCTGCGACCGTGTATGCATGCAAATCGTTTTAATAATGCAAAGAAGACCGACCACTTCTTCTTTATTGTAGCTCTAACCAGAACCCAAAATTATTTTTTTCTGCCCAGACGAACGCCAGAGAGCGTCTCTTATTCAAACGGAGAAAGATGAAAAGACGGAATTATTTATGCAGCGCTCCAGAGGGAATAAAATCCTCGCCCTTCTCTGCTATTTGCTCTTGTCCGTGTTGAACTTGCATTCAAACTTTCCTCTTTGGGTCAGAAAGTGCGAGTTTTCCTGTTGACTTGACCATTGCGTTGAAAATTAAAACTAATATTTTTTTCTGGAGAAGTTTCTCTTTTTCTTTCGGTGAACCAAATGATAACAAATTAACCTTAATCAGCTTTGTGCAAATGCAACACGTCCACCACTTATTACTTTTTGCTAGGGCTTGAGGGTATTTCAATGAGTCGATTTTTCACCGTAGTCAACAAGCTGCTTAATTAGTTTCTGCGTTATTAATGGCTGCTAATTTTTACAAACAAAAAAACAAGCCCACTTCGTGACTCACAAAGCTAAAAAATAAACGCAAATGTATCAAATTTACAAAGTCGGAAAGCGTGGAGGCGAAACTGCCACTGGTTTTGAGTTTTCTATTTCGTTCGCGCAGCAACCAGTGATTTATATATATTTTTTCTATCTGGACTGTCGTGGCGATATCCTTTTTCACAGCGACATTTTTCCCATGCTCGTTTTTATCTTTCGCATGAAAAGTCTCGTTTTTCTGTTTCAGTCCCAGCAGGACGTATTGAATTATTCACCTGCCCGCCGGAGGGAAATTCGAGAAGGAGCTTTGCGTGAAGAGTGCCTGCGGATTCGGCGGCCACTCATGACGGTCAGTACTTTTTCTTCTTCAATTTTTGCGGCCGCGAATTTATGTGTTTTCCACGTCGATCGATCGTTGCGAACAACACGATTGTTTTTGCTCACCTCTCTCGCCGCGCGAATTAATCATCCCGGGGCGGCAACAACAGTCGCACAATTTGGCAAACTCGAGAACAAACAATAAACAGCAGCTTCTCTTGTTGGTGTGTGTGTTCTATAGAGCATACGGGCCTCTGGGGTTGCAGCGAGGATTACCCTTTCTCGCGTGTGCGATCGCAAAGACAACAAAAGCGATTTGGCGATGTGAGGGTTGCTGGGGTTGCTCTGAACTTCTTGTTCTCTCGCCGCGTGTCTGTACAGCTGCGAGTTGGAGATTTCGGGCGCCGTCTTGCGCTTCAGCAAAACCTAATCTCTCGCTATTAACGGTACAATTAATTGCGCGAATAATTACTCAGTGAAATGAGGTATGACAGCTTGATTCATGAATAACAAGATATACATTGTGTATTGTTTGTTTATTTTAGGCTTTGCTAATAAAAATTTTACAGAACTCGAAACAGATTAACAGAAAATTAGAATGAATACTTGTATGTACCAAGCAAGTTTTTAAACTTTATTATAAATAAAAATTAAAGAATAATGTATTTGAAAAATTTTAATTAAGGATACTAAATTTTCAAATTACAATTTTTTTAAACAAGTTCTCAAATCATCAAATATTGCCATTAAACGCATTTCATTAAAAAAGAAATCAAAATTCAATCATAATTTAAATAATAAAAAAAAATTATTTTGTTCATTGGAATGCTGTGCTGGATTTTTTAAGTTGTTTTAATGAGACATTAAAAACAATAAAAATTGATGTAATTTCTGTGTTCTAAGAACACTATTTATTTGCTAAGTTTTAAAACATTCCTATAGGGGCCACCTGGGGCCACTGAAGTTTATAATTATTTATAATTATCTATTAATTTAAACAAAAATAAATAATGTTGTTACGCTAATGTTTTAAGTGTTTAAATAAACTTAATTAGTGGCAAAGTGTGACTTTATTGATTGTATCAAAACGCTTCCATAATTCATATACGAATTCAATATGGAGGTTATCAATTTTTATTTTTCGTTTTTGAGGGCTATATTATAACTGACTTTTTTTATGTGAGAAAATAATTGATAATTATTTTCTTGTGTTGGTCACATAATACCTTCCAACGAAGTGATCCCTATACATATTTAAAAATATACATTTTCACACAAGCATTATGGTACTATGAGGCATTTAATTTTGGAAACTTGTATCTCAAAAGATCAAATAAGTCTTTATTCATTGAGTAACAATCTTGCAAACTGCCAGAAGTAACGTAAAATACGCAGACATGCTCAATAGCTTATATAATATCTCCTATAGTCTGATACATAGTTGCCACTGGTTGCCACATCATGGTGTAGAATTAAACAGTTCCAAGTGGATTTCCAGCCTGTCCAAAAGCATGTTCGCAAAACTTCAAACGTGACGAGGGAGTGCGCGTGGCTGGCTCTCGCTGTTTATGCAAACTCGCCTCGTCGCTTTTAGCATCACACCATGTCAAAATCCACGCCCCGGCAGCTGACGACGCGAAACGAGGTGCTCGAATTTATAATGCTCCATGTTTCGGGACAACAAATGATATTTATGACAAATAGCGCGACCGCTCGCCCCGAGTGAATTATCAAAGAACGCACGCGCTCGATATTTTGCCAGCCTACACAATATATTGGTTCTCGATTTCATAGCGCTCAGATTGGAGATGCCAGACACAATTATTTCTAAATAATGTCATCCAATTACCCTTATCGGATTGGCACCTTGTGATGAGGAAAAAGAAAATGTGCAATTGTATGAGAAGGGATCGAGGCGCAAATTGCAAAAGCAGCGGGAAAGATGAGCTTTTGTTTGATTGACTCATGATCTGGTATCAAATTCGAGCTGGACCAATTTTTCAATTATATTTCGCTTTCTTCCATTGTGTTTGGAATTCTCTCCAGGAGCTCATTTATTTTGACGATCAATCAAATCAATCATAAAGAGCCGCTGGCCACTTGAATGCGCGACAAGAAAATTTCTTTTTCTTTGTGTTTCTTGTCTGCGGGAGTCTGGACGCATTTTCGCTGCTCATGTCGTTATCAATCACCAGACAGCAACGACGGCCAAAGAAAGAAGAGTTAATTCCGCTCGTGCGATCCACACATCAGATAAGACTGACGACTCTTCTTTTTCTGCGGAACATGTAAAAGTAGTTAGCACGTATACATGCAATTTGTTTGCTTGTGCAGAGCCAACAGATTATCGTTTTTTGATTCGCAGACAGCAGCGGATAAAAGCGTTCACTCTGACACAAAGCAAAAGGATTTGCTATAGTGTCACTTTTGAAAGCAGCCGAGCTTGACAGCGAAACTCCACTTGAATTCTGCACGGTTTATAAAACGGAAATCTTGAAAAGAGCAACAATTATACAATGCCGTTTAACCATGGCTAATTTTGAATAATTCGAGGTTTCGTAAAACTGACGGTTAAATTGAATTCCGTGAGCGGACCAGTATTTTTAAATCAGATTAAATTATTGTTTTCGGCACAATTTATGACATAATCCACCTGCAGCGGCGAGTTCTAACATATTAGTCACGGCCTTTCACGGTTCTGTATCCGAACCTAATTGGAATTTTCCTACCAAACGCTGATCAACTTAATTTGATGTTGGAAACCACAAAAATTTTTGTTTCAATATAATTCAATTCAGAATTTTTCATCACTCTTTTTCAACTTGATTTTGAATGGTTGAAAAACCATTTGGGAGAATGTTTCGCTAAAATACAATAAAGATTTATTTAGATTTTCTTATTATTCCGCCACTGGAAATCCACTAATGGCTTAGCTGCTTAAACATGCATAGTAGAGTGAATCGAGATAATGAGATCTCCCAACAGAACAGACAATGGCTGGCGCAGTGCGGTGATCACACATTTTATTCTGAGAGACGAGTCCGGCATAAGTGCGTTCTTGTTAATGCGATTACATTGTCACTGTATTTGCGTGCATTTGTATAAAAATTATTCCAATAGAAGAAACCATTCACTGCGTTAATGGATTTCATAATCTTTGAATATCTTGCTACTGCGTTTGGTTTTTATGCTGAAATTATGTTAAAATAAAATGTAGCAGTCAAAGGAAGTATAAAATATTATTTTCTAGGCAAATTTATTAGAATTAAAAAAATTCAATTTTTAAAAAATGTTTTGCTGAAAAAATATTTATAATTCTACGCCTGTATTTTATTTCATTTAAATGGGTATATTGGACACCTGGCTTTCCATATGAGCTCTTTAAAATGTATCTCTAATTCCTGCTCCTCAGCTCTCGCAGCTTCTAATAATTTTATAATTACACTAGGCCCTCTTGATACGCGGCAGCAGCATTCAGAGAAGCCACACACGCAGAAACAACCGTGCCAATAATTCATTTTCGTCGCCCAATCGTGCACACAGTATCACCAGCTACAAGACAAGGTGCAAAATTTATTGCTCCTCTCGCCTTCGTCCCGTGAGCTGGTAATTATTTTTCTGCAACCCCCGGTGTTTTTTGCACTGCCGAACATATGCTAATGGCCGCTGCCGGCGCGTGTATAAATCAAGAAGGAAGGCGCGCAAAAAATTTGACACTGGAACGCTATTAGCCGCAGTTGCACTGTAGAACAAAATGTAATCTAATTTCATTTGTCTATAGACATGTTTGCAAGTTTGTGCTTTTTAATGTGAATAAAAAGCCTTCAAAAGTATCAGTTTCCCCTCTAGTAAAATTAAGTTTGTTTGAAAGAAGATTAATTATTTTTAAAATAGGTTAAAAATATTAGGCAATAAGGCATTAAAAAATAATCCTTTGAAAACATGTAACAATGTGAAAACATTTTATTTCTTAATTAAAATATAATTTTATTTTTTAATGCTGTAAAAGATTTAATTTTAAAATAAATCAAAATTGGCAAGATTTGTGTGCATGATATTAAATCAACCGCACATACTCTGGTTGATTAGATTGAAAGCCTGGGAAATAATGTAACGGCTGAAATGAGAATTCAGGTGGCCAGCGTGCGCAGGCATTCATCTTGTAGGTGGCCGAAAAGCAATTTGTCTCGCGTTTACTCCACAGCACTTCGTCTTTTGCGGTCTTGATTCAGAAGCATAAAAAATTTTCATATCAAAGACGAGAAACAGAGGAGCCGCATTTCTCATAGAGTTCGTTTCGGCTTGATTCCCAGCAGCAATTTTAAAATCGGACCATTTTTTCTGTTACTTTTGGGTTGTGCTTTATTATTACGGTTGCGGCGGTTGATTTTCCTCAGAATATGCACCTGCAGGGCAGTGACACAATGAACAGGTAGGGCGCGAATCGAATCAAGCTCCCTGGTTTTTGTGGGAACAAATTCATTGCGTTTCTCACTTTCCACTCTATGCAATCAAAAGGGGTTGCATTACGCGCGGCACGTTGATTGCTTCGGCCGCAGCAGCCATGCTCGGTTGAACACCACGTGAGAAAATATATTTATAACAATCGGACGTGTGGCCGCTGATGAGTTTTCACCGTGTGAGGTGCCGACTTGGAAAATCGCTTCCACCTGCGAGTATCTTTCATCATAAGTTCTCTCAAAGCGTTTTATAATTGCTGGCTTTTCGGAAGATTGCGTGAACCCCTTTGATAACTCTTTCATTTCCGACACCTCTCTCTGCATACAAACTTTTTCTATCTCACTTTACCAAAAAGCCTACATTTGAAATAACTTTTTCAAAAACTCGTTACTCAGCTTATCTTTCCAAGCGGAAAATTTTCAACTCAACACATTTTTATGACATTTTTCCTCCATTTCAATGTCACTTTTCACTCTTTGTAACTAATTTAAAACATAATTATCCCACTTCACGTCTGACAAAATGATCCTCTTTTACAACTTTTCCGCTTGAGCTGCACTTTTTTCCAGC